CTTATTAAAAAAATAAAAAACAAAAATAAAAGATAATCGACGGTCGGCAACTAGCATCAAAATCAGTGTTGCCGCCTGCTAAACAAAATTAAAGAAGAAAAAGTTAATTTAATTTATAAAAAAATACATCAATTGTAAGGAAAAAAGAGGGGGAGAAATTAAAAAGATATCTATTAATATTTTTTTATTCTTTGTAGAATTATTTTTTTAAATGTGTCATATGTTTTTTTTACTATTTTAAATTTTAATATATGCATTTTATTTTTTGAATTGATTTTTATATTAATTTTTATCTAAAAACAATATTTTTTATTAAACTAAGATGGTTATAAGGTAGTATATGTTTTAAATATTCTCAATTATTTGACAATAAATGCTCAATCATCCTGCTACAGTCGTTGGTACTTGAATCCGTGATATCTAAGAATAACAATGATTCTTTTAACCAATTAAGTTGATTTGTGTTATTTAAAAACAATAGTTTTTTTTTGTTTTTTTGTTTAATATTATTATTAAATTGTGGTCTAATATCTGTAAAAAAAATATTTTTTAACTCTTTGAGTTTATATTTTTTTTTATCAATTTGACTCCAAAAACTATAAAATGAGATACTTAAAAAATTGTATTGTTTGATTAATGATATTTTTAATTTATTATTTTGATTATCTTTTACCATTAAATTTTAATGATTTAGAGTTATCACTATCACAGGACACACTCTTGTAAATATTTTTAAAATTATAAAAATATTATATAATTATTTTAAAATTATAAATATTAAAAATTATTGTAACATATTACAAAATTAAGAAAATATTTTTAAAATTCTCAAATATATAAAAAAAAGATAATTAAAAATATTATTTATTAAAAAATATCTAAAAATATGATGAGACGATATAATTGGAGTATGGATTGCTGATGGGTAAATGACAAAATTACTGCGTTAAACTCTTTTCCCTTTGTAAGTTGTAACCATAAAAATGGGCACTTAAGAAGAATAAAGTTGAGAGGTTGATTTTTTTTCTAAAAAGTTAATGACTTTGCACATAGTTAAGCCAATAATATTTTACAATTAAATATACAAATGAATTGCAAAAATATACATATTCTTCAAACATTCAATTTTCCCAATCTTCTAATTGCAATGTATTCTTCAACTCTATTTCCCCCAAAAATCCATTATCTTTCTCTTGGAGCTTCTTGCATATCAGTAGCTATTTCAGCCATTTTGGTCTTGCTTTATACAATCCTGTACAGCCATGGTTGTACCCAATCTTTTGTCCCATTCAACCCCATAGACCTCCAGTGGTCATCTTCAACAGATGATATCAATTCTGCAACAAATATTAGCCATATTAAGTTCATATTAGCCAGCTCCGAAAAAACATTGAAATCCAGAAGACCATACATAGAATCATGGTGGCAGCCTAATGGAACAAGAGGGAACATTTTCTTGGACTCACCACCTTCAAATGACTTCCTCCCTTGGCCTTCATCTTACCCTCCGTTCCAAGTCAACGAGGACGTCAAGAAATTAAGGGTATACCCTAAACTCGTTGTTCCGGCCGCGGTCCGACTGTTCCGCTCGATCCTCGAGACGTTTCGGCTCGAGGACGATGAGGACGTGAGATGGTATGTCATGGGGGGATGATGATACTGTCTTTTTTGTTGAGAATTTGGTGGATGTGCTGGGCAAGTATGATCATAGTGAATACTATTACATCGGGATGACATCGGAAGCGGTTAAGTCGAATTTTGACTTCTCGTTCGATATGGCATATGGGGGTGCCGGTTATGCTTTGAGCTACTCCCTGGTGGAAACATTGGTGCCTGTCATTGATGATTGTATTGAGAGGTACGCTTATTTGCGTGTTAGTGATCAGTTGTTGTCTTCATGTTTGGCTGATTTAGGCGTTGATATCACCCTTGAAAAGGGTTTTCACCAGGTAATCTCTACTCTCCGATGAGTTTCAAATCCATCCGATCTAAATAATTGAAGGATGAAATATATATATATGGTCCCTTGACTATAAGACATTATTTTGTTGGATTTATTGACTATTAAAAGTTACAAAATAATCCTCCAATTATAGGACGTTGCTTTGTTGAGTCTCTCGACTATTAAAAGTTATAAAATGATCATCCGACTATTCATATATTTCAAACTCGTTTTTTTCTGTTAAAAAATTGACGTTCGTCTGAGTTAGACATTTACCTACTGAATGAGATATGATCAAATCTAATCCCGGAATCTCAAACGATTATATAATTGAAACATCTTTGAAGTCAGATTTTATCATATCTTAATCTACATGTTAATGTCCAACTTAGAAGACCATCAATTTTTTGGATAAAAAGGGTGAATTTGGAATATATGAATAGTTGGATGATCATTTTATAACTTTTAATAGTCGAGAGACTCAATAAAGCAACGTCTTATAATCGGAGATCATTTTATAACTTTTAATAGTTGAGGTACTCAACAAAGTAGCAATCTATAGTCAGAGACCATTTATGTACTTTATTCATAATTAAACTAGTCTCATATGGACTAATTTTGGCAAGTGCAGATTGATCTTCTAGGTGACATATCAGGCCTGCTGTCATCTCATTGGCAGTCACCGGTTGTCTCGCTTCATCATCTCGACGGAATAGACCCGATATTCCCTTCCAATAACCGATACGAGTCGATGAACCACTTGATGAAAGCAACGAAATTCGACCAATCCCGACTTCTGCAACAAACGATTTGCTACCACAGGGCGACCAACTGGTCTTTCACGGTGTCGTGGGGTTACTCGGTTCATATTTATGAAAGCCTGATCCCTCGGAGCATTTTAAGGAAACCGCTTGAGATGTTTAAGCCGTTCAAGAAATCTGCTACGCCTCCGTTGTACATGTTCGACACGAGGTCACCTTGGGAAGATGATCCAAGCTGTCAAGCTCCTCATGTGTTCTTCTTGGAATCTGTGGGAACCGACGGCGGAGGTTTTGTTAATACTACGTATAGACGAGCTTCGCGGCCGAATCTGTCATCGTGTTCGTCGAGTGGGAACCATTCGGCGGAACATATCGACTACGTGAGGGTGGTTTTGCAGGCGACGAGGCGTAAGCAGGCTAGGCCCTCCATTTCAACTTCTTTGCATATCTAATGTAAAACTTTTAGTTTTACACCTTTAAGATAGTTGGACGAGAGATAATCAAATGCTGAGATTAACCTTTTTTTTTCAATGAATATTTTGAATTTTCAACTATTAGTCTCATCCAACAATATACTAAAAATGTGTAGAACTTTTTAATTTTACATTATGTATTGGATCCTAGCCCTCTATGTGTGTATATATATAGGGAAATGATCTGTTTACCCTCAATGTAAAACTAAGAGTTTTACATCCTTTTAGGACCATTGGATGAAAGAGATCAAAGGTTGAGATTAACAATATGAAATGAGAAAATACTCACCGAAAAGAAAAAGTTAATCTTAATCTTTAATTTTTTTCAAACCCGTGACTCTTAATTTTACAAAGGTGTAAGTGGATTCTAACTCATATATATATATATATATATATATATATATATATATATATATATATATATATATATATATATATATATATATGAGTTTTACATCCTTTTAGATCATTGGATGAGAGAAATTAAATGTTGAGATTAACAGTATGAAATAAGAAAATATTTACTGAAAAAAAAAGTTAAATGAGAAAATATTTACTGAAAAGAAGAAGAAGTTAATCTTAGTCTTTAATTTCTCTCAACCAATGGTCTCAAATTCATAAACTATATCAATTTAACTCTTTAATCAATATTCACTTTTATATAACAATTAACAGTATTAATATAACAATTTATTATTGATTTTGTGACAATTGATGTGAATGATAATGTAATAAAAGAGATATATTAATTTCCTTTGATGAAAATTGAGAGTTTACTTAATTTTTTATAAAAATATTTTTTAAAAAATAAGAAAAAAATTTAAAATATTTAAAAAAAATACTAAATTATTAAAAAGTGATATTAATTTTTTGGGAAAAATAGAGAAGTAATTTTTTTTATTAATTTGGAGTAAATATAAGGCATTATTTGTTCAAAAATAACTTTCAACCATTTAATATTAAACACTCACACCTCTTACATTCTCAATGCTCGAACCTGAGACTTCAAGGAATAACAATAATTCATTTACCATTGAGGTCGCATGGTTTGTGCATAGAAGTAAAAGTAAAATGATAAGTTACAAATATTAAAAATAAAATTTTATAAATATTTATAAATTATTAAAAATTATTTTGAGAATAATATCTTATTATATAAAAAGTTTAAAATTTTGAATAAGAATTTAAAAAATATCTAAATATTTTTATTAGACAAATCTTTGACTGTTCCTCGATTGTATGAGTTTTATCATTTTTTTCAAATATATTTTCGATAAATTTAAAATTGATTGAGTTTTATTGATATTTAATGGGTACTCATTAATATTATTTTAACTCTTTAATTTATTTTAGCATAATCTCAAAATTAATACCCAATGTTTTCTGAATGATCATTTTAATTATTATTTTTTTTAATATTTTAATCTTTAACATTTTAATCAAAATAATCTTTACGGGAAGAAAACTGTTAATTGATTAACAATAAACTTATTATTAATATAATATTTTCATGTGCTAAATTGACGGTTTCGCATAGAATGTTGCTGACAGACATTTTGGAATAACATGTTGCAGGAAGGAAAGGTAGAATGTTGCGATGTGGAGTACGTGAATGCTACAAATGTTGCAGACATAAGGTTGAGGCCTTGTATCACTGAAGTTTTAGCCTAAATTATTCTCTTTTATAATTTACAAAGAAAATGTCATTTTTTATGAATAATTAAACAGTTATCTAAATTAATAAATGTTTTAATTTTAAGCTTCTTTTTAAAGTAAAAGAGTTCAATTTAATAATAAAAAATCATTAATTCATAAAATTGGCAATTAATTAATTTATTCCTTTTGATTTAACATTTATTTCGGGAAAAAGAACAGCTTTCTTTTACGAGAAAATGTCTTAACAAATGTATTTGTATTTAAATGGAAACTGCCATTGGAGGCAGCCAAAGCCTTCCACCAATGGCCAACGCCACCACTACCGGTTGTTTCGAGCTCCGACGTTAAACCTTCTCAGACTTACCTATGCTGTGCACTGTCCTCTTCGTGAGCCTTCTGGATTCCGACCAATCGAGCATAATCCACCCACCTATACAAAAGCCAATTCGAAACCATGAAAAAAGTAACTCGATTATCGTATCACGACACGTAGAACTTTCGAGGTTGGTTGATATCGTATCTTACAATAGAGAACCCAAGAACGTGTTGCCGGTTCTAACAGCGAAGCATAACGCACTCAACACAAGCTTGTGCTGGTGTAACAATGGCTCCAGAATCCGTTGTTCAATAACACCAGCCAGCACTTGGTACCTGCTCAGACAGAGACAAAAGAATCCTAAGCAAAATGTTCCAAAATTTGATAACTGGTACATTCTGAGCATTTCGAACATGTTTTTTTTTCACAGGTATGAATCTGGATAAACCGACTTCAAAAATCGTTCTCAACAGGATTACACGAGAAACGTCGTAAATACATGTCAGGTTTCGAAACAGAACATAGTAAAAGCAATTCCATGAACAATAGCAAAATCTACACACCTGAGGTTGCTCGAAACGGCCATGTATACACCATAGGCAACACTGGTGGATAGTATGGGAACATTTTCAACTTCATCCGCAGCCGACTTATCGACCGCCTTCCTAGCATTGATCAAAGCATTCGTGATCGCTGTGCCAACCTACAATAAACTAAACCCGTAAAAAGCCGAAATGCGAAATCGCTTTATACTTTATATATTAGATAGCAGATAATTTTCTCAACCATTTGAAAGAATATACACAAAAGGGGATAGAAAGAGGAACAGCAGCCAAAACCTTACCAGCGAAGAAATGGTGCCCACTGCAAAAAGCTTTGCGCCATTACGCTGCACATATAATTACATTTAGAACACAATACGATGGTTTTATTCTTACCTCGGATATTCAGAAATCTTATTACTTAAAAGTTGACGGAAAAAAGAACCGCTCCTTACCATTACTGCACCTAATCGTTGCAGAAGTGAATACGAAGTACCAGGAAGAGCAACCTGCAGAAAAGATCCTCTATCAACGACCTTAAATCACTCGTATTTTATCAACTAGGAAAATCTTTGCAAAGTCTCTATGCAATATTATCAGCAAGATTAAAAGAAGAAACCTGAAAAGCGTTGTCGGGGCAGCTATAGAAAAACTTGGAAATAGCTCCAGCACTGACTGCGAGAGGAGGCCGGAGAGAGACAGTAGGAGCGGGAAGATAAACAAGCATGAAATCTGCAATTATGGCCATTACCTACAAAAACCCGAATATGATATTTAAACTGTAGAAATAACAGAGTTGGACATGTAACTCATAGTTGTGGTAAAGGATCTCTTATTCACTTAGTGTCTGCGAAATATGCACACTTGATCCGTGATTTAAGAAGCTAAAAACAATGACAAGGCATATCGGTGGTCGTATCTCTGCATCCTAAACCAATACATTTTTGTTTCGGATTTTGCAACGAAATCAATCAGTTTGTACAAAGACATACTCAAATTCATTCTTTAAATTAATAAAACCAGAAATTCCTTGCTATTGAAGGTGAAAGAAGGAAGAAAAGATGCACATTTTAAAGAACTAGTTATGAGGTAAAACAGCCATACCACATCTGCAAAAACGATTTCGAGCTCCTTGAAAAAGTTTTCTCTGCGGCGTTCGTATTCTGCAGCAGTCTGGAAAACACGAAATGACATTAGTAAAACAGTTGTTAAGTTCGGAATCATCAACAAAACAAACCACAGCTTCCATGAAGAATTGAGATCAAAATCCAGATCATGCATAAACATAACTCTTGTAGGTTTAGATTCTTCTGCTAAAAACCAACCAAATTGTTTTACTAGATTCACCCATGCTGAGTTGTTGAGTCAGCTGTGAGTCACACTCGAGACAACTAGGATGTTGGCTTAAAACTCTAAAGGAAAAAAGAAGGCAAAGTGCATCAAAATTCAGGCTATGATTGATCTTACAGACAAAGATCACAAGAAAAGAAATTGAAATTCGATTTTAATAATCAATGAACAAATCTACAGGGATTTAAATTGCGGCTGATATCGGAATATCTGCCGTTATATAAGGTAAAGTTCCTGCCACAAACAGTACCCGCAACGCAACTGAAAACAATCAATGATCTACAGTAAAAAAACCCAAAGAAAATACGAAAAGAGAGGGAAAAAACCTTGGTGAAGATGCCGACACCACACTCCATGGCAACTTTAGCTAAGAAAAGATCATCAGCCAAAAGCCTTTCTTTAAACCCACCAAACTGCATCAGCCACCTCATAAGCCCCGATTTTTCGAGCCCCAAGAACCTCTCTATAACCGACCCGGGGATCTTCCCGGCCTGGATCGCCGCCGCCAAGTCTTTCGGAAGACTCTCCATTGACCTCCCTGCCTCCGCCAGCACGATCATCGTCTCTTTCCTGTTCTTATCACCCGCATTTTCATCGCCACCACCCCCGTGTTTCCCATTGTCGTCGTTACCCCCGCCGCCGCCACCGGAGTTGTTGTCGTTGCTGTTGATATCACCACCATCACCGCCTGCGGACGAGGCTAAGAACGGGGAAGGTCGGGTGTGGTGGAGAGTGGAGACAGAGGAGGAGGAGGAAAGGCGGAGACGAAGGTGTAGAGGGAAAGTGGCGGGGAGTTTAGGGGTGATGGAGGGGGGAGGGGAGAAGGACGGTGGTGAAGGGGTGAAAAGGCAGGCGGCGATGGACATGGCCGGTGGTTTTTCTGGTGAGCTTTAGATTTGGAGCGTTGTGGGTTTTGCGTTGCTTGGGGAGCAGGAGGACTTTGACTTATGACATGAGGATCTGAATCAAACCAAACGCCAGGGGACTTTTCTAAGACAGTTTTTGTCCGAAAACAACGTGGATGGTCTTTTCCTACTTTAGGGTTTCATTCTTCCCCACTCTCTCTCCTCCATCCCCTCCCACTCACGCTCTTCCTATAATTTTACTCACCACATCATTATACGTACCCCCACTCTTCAGTGGTAAACAAATAGGGTAAATTACAAATTTAGTATCTAAATTATCAGTTTTGATCTATTCAGTACCTAAACTTACAATTTTTCAAAATCATATCTGACGTTTAATTTTTTTCCTCATTTTAATACCCTAATGTTAAAAACTTAATACGTTTAATATATAAACCATCAGTTTAGATCTATTTTAATACCTAAACTTTCAATTTTTTTTAAAACTTTACGTTAAATTTTGCTAGGAGTACTAAAAAGCAACAAACTAATTTTTTTAAAGGAGGGCACTAAATAAAATAAAAACTAAAACTTTAAGTATGGTTTTAAAAAAAATTTGAAAGTTTAGGTATTAAAACATACAAAACTAATAGTTTAAGTACTAAATACATAATTTATCCAAAAAACTAATACAAATAAAATCATTAATTTTCTTTAAAATAGAAAATATTCAAAATTATAATGAAATTCATAAATAAAACACATTATTAGAAAATCTTCTTATAACCATTGACACTCAAGATTATTAAAGGGCTATACAAGAAAAAGTCAAAACTCAGCTAAAAAATAGATACAAATAAATATTATTGCATCAATAAACGAACCATAAAAGGAGATTAAACTACTAAAAGACCAATGACAATCGCAAATGAAAATTAAATGTCGCGAGAAGACTATCTACGAACACAAACCACGTATCCAAGTCCAATACGAGGTCCAAAGCATGAAAGATCCACATAATAACAAATAAGCGTCATCTTAAGTAATCGATGCGACATCAAATCCAACCTTAAAAATTAAACAAAAAATTATCAAATGATCGAAAATATTTCATAAAGATAGAGAAAAATGTGTCATAAAGACAAATTATTATAAACTAAAAAATAAATATACAATATAAAAAAATAAATGATAAATAAAAAAACAAGCGGTCGAAAACTATTACCAAAATTGATAATATCGTACTTAAGAATTAAGTTCAATCAATTATGTCTTGAAGATATATATGTTGTAAAATAAACTTAAGAATTTAATTTTTCAACAAATAATATCTTATATTTATCTTAAATTACTAAAAAGGGTTAATGCTAATTTCATATAATAATTAATTAGTTTTAAATTATGAATTAGTCTCAAAATTACTTTTAATACATTAGTATTGATTAAGTATAAGTTTAAAATGTTTATAATATTTAAAAATTCAAATAAACTCTTATATACAAAAATTATTTCGTAAACTTTTTTTCCCAATATTTTAAAAAAATTGCAGGAATCTTTTTCTTTTAATTAGTAGGGGTATTTTATTTTTTAAGAACAAAAGAATCTCTTCGACGGAGGGCATTTCATAATTCGGAGGTCTTCTACGGAAGCTACTCTCAACCTGGTGTTGGGGGCAGCCTACTATCTTACCTCCCCTTACCTCATTACATATGAGAACAAGCGACAGCCATTTAATCCTCTTTCTAATAGAATATCTATTTATTAATATGATATAATATGTTTTTCATTATTTAAAAAAAATAATCTAGGGTGATAAAAAATAAATATATGTTCATAATTTTTTTAGACTTTGGTAATACAGATTTTATAAACATAATTATTCGAATCTAATTTTTTTTTTAAATATTTTCTTTAATGACTAAATTTTTTTAATGAGTTTAATTTTAAAATTATATTTTTTATATACATTATTAACGCATCTTTTAAAATATGTATAATATATATTTATATCATATGATGCACCCTATCAATAGAAAAAATTATTAGATTTAGAAAGATGAAAAGCATGGCACATTGGCACACCTTTCTTCGACTAAAAACTGTGAAGTTGAAAAGCACGGCTCTCGCGCTTCACCTTTGCAGGGTTTTCAAATCTCAATTGATTTACAATAAAAATAAAGTTAGTGTATTATTATTTTTTTATTAATCTTTTAAAATGAAATCTTTAAAATATTTTATAAAAAAATATTAAAATTTATCATATTACGATTGTTTCTCATAAATTAAAAAATTGTAAACATGCGAAATTAAATTTTCTTCACGCGTGTATATAATAAGAAAAATATATTTTTTAAATTAACAAATTTTTTAAAGTATGAAATCCTCAAATTTTAAAGCCCTATAAGGTGTCACAAACCATATTTTCTAAACGACGTATGGACATGCTTGACCCCTGAGGTATGATGTATTCGAACTCAAGACATTTAAGAATAACAATCATTTTTTTAACTATTAAGATAAGTTGATTCATGTTAATTAGTTTACTAATAATTATATTAACAATAGTTAGTATTTCATTCTTTAATTATTGTTATGTCTCATTAAAATTATCTTTAATTGATTTTTTGGATTTTCATTATTAAAATTTATTATTAATAAATGTGAACAAATAAATTTTAAAAAACTTCATCAAATAACCAGTCAACAATTAATATTATCTAAAATAAAATTAATAGAACTATTTGTTGAACCATGTTTTGAGATTTTGATATACCAAACGTAAATATGTTTAAATAAATTTTAAGATTATTTTTAATTCGGTTTTCAAGCTTATATTCGATTCAACAGTTCGAAAATAAAAATTCTTTTTTAAAGTTAAAAACTCTATTTTTACTACTTACTCTTTTGAAAATTCAAGTCATTTACTGGAATTAATTTTTAAACATTTTTACAAAGGGTTCAGATTTTAATCGAGTCAAAAATCAAATTTTAACCTTGTAGTACCGATACTACAAGAACAGTACCAATGTTGTTCATGTGGTATCGATACTAATAGTATAAAAATTACACAATAGTACCAATACTCCCTTTAAATTTTTGACAATCACCAATTCCAGTATACCATTTTGGTACTGATACTCAGATCCGAGTATCGCTACTAGTATCAATACTCACATATGAGTATTGATACTCTTCTCTCATCAGCAACTAGATTTTTGTATTTAATACAGACAATACATATACTCGGACTGGTACTCTACACCCAAGTACCAGTACTCAATGCATTTGGGCATCATTTATTGCGGTAGATTTCATCCCAACGACTCTATTAACTCCCACAACAACCCAAACAACTAGAATTGAATGAATGAGTATAAAAACAAGATTCCAAGTCATATGTGAAGATAAGAAATCATAGAGAAAGCCAAAGTAATCACTTTGAGCCAAAAATTAAGTCAAAATTCTTCAAAATTCTTTTTGCTTTTAAAGAACACATTTGTACTCATTTGTTTCATTTGTTAAGTGTTCTTCTTTGTTCTTGAATTATGCAAACACATTCCTAGTGATATTTTTAAAGTTTTTTTATTTTTAATTTCTTCTTAGGAATGGTTGTACACGTGAGACTTTGGGATATAAGTCTAAGTGAGTTGTAAGGTTACACCTTGTCCTAAAAGGTTTGAACAAATTAGTTAATTTGTTGAAATCCTTAGTGTGGAAGCTAAGGTAGTGGATGTAAACTTCATTGAAGAAGTTGAACCACTCTAAAATTGCGTGTATAAAATTTTTTATTCTCTTTCAAAAAACACCCATCAATTTTTAATTGCCAATTCACCCTATCTTGGCTATTTTATTGGTTCAATTGACTCAAAAATTGGTATCAAAGCTAATCTCATTGGAAGGCTTAACATCATCTTGAAAAGATCCTTGGAAGAAGTCAATCATTTCCTCTTCAATGGCCACTCCATCTACTTTCGGTATTTTTGGTGAGTCTCAATCTATATCAAAGTCTCCTTATTTAAATGGTGCTAACTATTCTTATTGAAAGAATATAATGATTTTATTTATTCAAGACACCGATTATTTAGTGTACGATGTCATTATCTACGTAACATCAATTTCTTTTAAGAGGCAATGAGAGCTTGTTATACTGAAGGTTAAGTCAGAATGGACCGATGAAGACTAAAGGCTCGTCCAACTTAATGCAAAGGCCATGCACATCATATTTTGTGCATTAAGCCCCAATGAATATGTCTGGTGTCTTCTTGCTCAAATGAAAAAATTATTTGGGACATGCTTGAAGTTACACATGATGGTACAACTTATGTGAAGAAATCAAAGATTGAAATTCTCACTCTTAATTATGAGAATTTTAAAGTGAAGGTCGATGAAGATATCAAAACCATGTCAGATCATTCTACCACCACTATCAATGATTTAAGGAACTTTGGGAAGGTCTATCCCAGTGAAAAAGTTGTAAGAAATATGTTTGCCTTATTACCTTCATCTTGGGAAGACAAAACAACCACTATTAAAGAAGCCAAAGATTTGGAGTTGTACACCCTGGATGAACTCATCGGACCATTACTCATTAACGATGTAAGACTTTAAAAGAAGTAGAATGAAGAAGAGAAGAAAGTTGGGATCTCTCTCAAGTCCATCAAGGAAGAAAGTGATTCTAATGAGGAAGAAGATGAAGCAATGAAAATGTTTGTTAAAAAAAATGGATGATTCATGAAGTCCAACAAAGGTAGAATATTTCAAAGAAATAAAGGCTTCAAGAATGAATCTAAAGAGAATGGCCCAGTCATTTATTATGAGTTCAAGAAACCAAGACATATCAAGTTTGAATGTCCTCAATTGAAGAAGAATGTGTCAACCAAGAAGGCACAAAAGACACATGTAACTATATGGAGCGATGAAGAATGGTTCGATGATAAAGAAGAAGAAGCAGTCAACTTGTGTCTTATAGCCATCGAGAGAGAAACTAAGGTAACCTCTAGTTCATCCAATTTAAATGAATATTCTTTTGATAAGCTACAAGAGGCATATGATGAATTTGCCTTAGAATTTGAGATTATGCTTT